TTCAAATTAATATTTCATTGTAATTACTCAATATATATTTATTGATAAGTAATAGTTTATATTTTTAATAAAAAGAGATTTTTTTTTTAAAAACAAACATAAACAAAAAAAAGATATCTAAAAGAAATTTTTTTAAACCTTTCAGATATTCTTTTACTAAGTATTATACACATAATGCTTTTTCAAACAGATTGTCTTTTTCACCTGTGTCTAGATGGCCAGATTTTGTTTCTCTTGCTAGTAGAATATCAGCTAGTATTACATAACATGATTTATTTAATAGTTTTTTGGAAAGACTTTATGAAAAGTTCAACAATAAACATTTAGAAATTTTAGAAAGCTATAATGATACTGAAACTGAACAAATATGGGTGTGTATTTTTTTATGTATTTGTTATTATTATTTTATTTTTTATTGAATTTTTTTTTATTTAAGTTAATAAAATTGAACAAGTCTTGATAAACATAGGAGTTGTATTTGATAAATATGAAACATTTGAACAAAAAATAGACAGAGTGGTCAAAGCCAATAAAGAATTTATTGGCATACAAAAATTTTAATTTTTTTTTTATTTTGTTTTTTTTTTTTATTTTTTTTTATTTAATATAAAAAATATATATATATTTTAATTTTATTTAAAAATATATAAATAAATAAATATTAAAAATATTGTTTGAATAAATAATAAATAAAGTTAATATAGTCTGTAATTCCTATATCAAATTTCTCAAAATCTATATCAGAATAATTAATAAATTTTTCATCATATATAAGTGTTCTTTCATAATATTTAAATTTATCAGTAGAAAAAATGAATATATTAATAATAAATTTATTTATTATGTTAAAGAATCTGAAAAGCTCCTTATTTTTATAATTGATAACAATTATTATTTGGTTATTCATGTTGTTATGATACATTCTTATACAAAAGAGAAGCAACAAAAAGATTTTAGAAGCCATTTTGGGTTGTTTTTTTTTGTTTATCAAAAAAAAAATCAATATTTATAGGATTTTTATTATCTCAGTCTTTTTATATTAGCTTCTTTAGGTTTATGTACTGGTATATATTTTGCTTTTCTGCTTTTAGAAAAAAATGCTTGCCAATATAAATCTTTAGGATAACTTTTACATATTTTACTATTTTTATTTAATACTCATTCATATCTTTCTTTTTTAAAGTTTCAAATATGTAATTGTGATAATGAAAGATCATTTACAAGCACTGAGATTTGATTTTTTGGCACTGATATTTGATTTTTAGGTTTAGTTTTAGCTTTAAATTTAGTTTTAGATTTAGCTTTAGTATGAGCATATACAACTATATTTATAATAAATAACAGAATGATAAGAATTTTAAGAAATTTCATTTTTTAAAGAAAAATAAATGATTTGTTTATTTATATAATTTTAATTTTTAATACAATAAATAATAATTATTAATCTTTATCAACCTCAATATTATTATTATCTTCTTCTTTGTCTTTACAACATTTTTTTATTATATTAAAAAGAGTATCTATCAAATTAGTAGAATCAAAGTTAGGTTTTCAGGTTAGTTCTATTTGTAAATAAGTTATGAATAATAGAATTTCACAATTTTCTTCTTCAGTATTAAAAGTTTTTCCAAATTTATCAGCATCAGCTTTTTTAGCAGTTTTTTTGAACCTATACATCCAGTCAAAATAATTGACTATAATTATAAAAACATAATTTCTTTGATTAAAAGTATGAGCATTGCCTTCATCTTTTAATAATCTACAAAATTTCAATTTATTAAGTTTAATACAAAACTCAATTTGATGAGTTTGTAATTCATAATCTTCATATGAGATTTTTTCTACATATTCTAAGTGAGAAGTAATATATTCTTAAAATTGAACATTTTTTACATCTCTATCTACAATTATATCTCCTATTTTAGGTTAATTTTGTTCAGCTACAATTTTATCACAAATTTCGATTATGTAAAATTTTATTTTCATATCACTAATTATTGGAGTAATTATTTTATTTTCTGTTTGACTTATTTCTAACTGAAAAGTGTTTTCTCTATCTTCATTATAATATGATGTAATGTTCATTTATATAACAATATCATGTAATTTAATGTTTTTTTGATTTGGATCTATTTGTTGAAACAATCTTATAAGTTCAAATTTTGAATCTAGACTTCAAAGAAAATTCTACCATTTGTTGGTTTAGAAGTTATATCAACATCAACTATAGCATCAGGATCTTTTTTCCTATACATGAATTAGTTTTTTGTAGATTATTACAATATGCTACAATACATGCATTTAATTGATTTATTTTACTATAATTCATTTTGTTAAGAAAAAGTTTACAAATGATGTTTATTTATATATTTTTAAAAATAAAATAATTTATTTAAAATAAAAATAAAATAATAAAAAATAAATCTATACTTCATTTATATTACAACAATTTGTAATTTTTGCCATTATTCTTTGGTAATCTTGGCTTTGTAAATGAGAAGTCCATGCTAATTCAATATAAACTTTACCTATGAATAAAGAAATATCTGAGTTTCTAGTATCAAAATTATAGTTTTCATCTAAAAAATATGTTTCTTCTTTATTATTAAGTATACTTTTTTTAAAATTGTACATAAAATTACAGTAATCTAAAAATATCATAAATAAATATTTTCTTTTATCTAAAACAGCTTATTCTGTATCAGTTTCTTTGTTTAAAAGACAGACTTGCATTTTACTAAGATCTAAACACATGATTATTTCATTTTCTGAGAAATTACATAAACTACAATTAATTTCTTGCACATCTTTAAGTAATGGTTTAACTTTTTTAGTGTTGAATTCTATAGTTTGAAGGTCTTTATCTATTAATAGATCACTGAAAAAATAATAATTTTTTTTTTTTTTAAGTAGTTCTCAGTTACAGATTTTTAGTATATAACTTTTGATTATCATTTGAGAGATCAAAGAAGTAATTATAGTTGCTCCTCTGGCTGTAAGAATCCTGATAGTTCTTGTTTTATCTTTATTATGATATGTTATGATTTGTAAATGTATTAAAATATCATATAAAGTAAATCTAGTAAAAGGTTCAAAGCTTTTTGTTTGAAAAAATCTAAAAGGCATTATTATTTGAAACAATGTATCAAAATAATATGTACAATTATTTTCTTTTATAGGACCCAATTTGATTTTTGTAACTTGTGCTCCTGAAGGTCTTTTTGCTTAACATATATTCAGTTTTTTTTCATCTTCACACTATGTGATTTTACAAGCATTATTTGGTAATATTTTCTTTTTTGGTATTTCTTTTTTATATACTGTTTTCTTAGTTTAACTTTGTTTTTTAGTTTTTACTTTTAGCATGTTTTATTTTTATATCTACACGAGTTACACTTTTTAACTCTTTTAACTGATTTTGAAATTAGTGATGATCTTTTTTTAATAGTAGTAGTTGATTTTTTTTTTGTAAATCATTTTTTTTGGAGTTGTATTTTTTTGAGTAGCTTTTTGTTTTACAATCTGTTGTTTCCTTCTGGATGCCACTTTGTCTAAATAAATTAATAAAAAGACTATATTGAGAAATATTTCTCTTACTAGAATGTTAGAATATGATAAAATATGTAATATGAACTTGAAATCAATTTCAACAAATTTAAGATGAAATACAAATATTGTGTAGATAATTGCAATTAAAAGAAAAATATATAAATAAGAAATTATAATATCTATTTTTAGTTTGGATTTACTATATTGTTCACACAAATCAGAATAATCTGTTATTTAAATTTTTGTAAAAATTAAGAGAACTCAAATATTTATATAGTTTCTAAAAATTCTGATCCATTCTTAGGATTTTCAGGACTTGCTTTCTATATTTTTGCAATTGCTTTCATTGTTTCTATATTATTTTCATGTTGTGATGCTATTTTTTCATAATTATCTTTCATAAATTGTTGATATTTTGTCAATTTCTTTTCTTTTACCTTTTTTTTTTGTTTTTTCCTTTTCTACATTTTTTTACTTTCAACTCATTAACATTATACACAATATCAGCAAGTCTTTCTATATTACTAAGATTTATTATTGCATAATCAGAGTCATGTTCTAATATTTTTTCAATTAATTCTTGTTTGGTTTTTAATTTTTTTCACAAACTGTTTAAGTTTATCATTAAGAACTTTACCTATTTTATTTTACTAGAAAAAATATAAAAAGAGTTATATATTTATATGATTTTACATTATAGATGAAATAAAAGAGTTATTTAATAAAGTTGATAATTTTATCAAACTCATAAAAGATGATAAAGCAGATTACTTAGAATCTTTAAATTAATTAAAAGAAACATGAATTCAAATCTTTTAAGATGTTGAAGAAATACTTCAAGAAAAACAAAAAGATATTGATGCATTAATTCTAGTAAACAATATTTTATTAACTGAATCCAATTACTACAAAACACATTGGTTTTCAAAATTAACTGATGAAAATAATAAACTACAAGATGAAAATAAAAAATTAAATACTTTAAACAATGCTAATAATGAAATAATAACTGATGTAAATCAAAAAGCAAATATTTCTTTGGAGAATTTTGGTATTAAATATGAGAGGACAGAGAGTTTAGAAAGTAAAATGAATAAAATCATGACAGTTAGTAAGGAGTTAAAAGAAGTAATGATGGCATAATTGTGTAATCATATGATTATTTTTTATGAATATGTTAGATTTTTTTCTTATTTTTTTTTTCTTTAATAATTAAAAAAAACATTAATGTATATTTTTTTGTTGTTTTATTTTATTTTATTATTAATCTTAATCTTTGTTCTTTTTAATAATAAAGATATCATAAACTATAAATAAGTCTTGTATTTTGTTCAATACAGTATAGCCTTGATATAATGAACCTCGATATAATGATAACAAAGATTATTTCTAATTTTTATATTTAAATTAGCCCTGATATAATAAAACTACTAATAAGTTTTGATATAACAAAGCAAAACCTCTAGCTCCAAAGCTTTGTTATATTAAGGTTATACTGTAAAAGACAAAAAAGAAAATGCTTAATGTATATTTAATTAATTAATCTAATTTGTTTAATATCTTATTAATAACTAATTTTTTCTAGCTTATCAGTTTCATATAGCAATTCTCAGAAGCCTATTATATATATATATTTTTTTTTTGGTATTAAGGTGCCCTCTTTGGTCTTTTAACTTTTATTAATTACTTATCGGTATTGTGGTTCAATGAACTACTACAGGAGAGCATACAATTGGCTACATGTATAACTTTTCTATATTACCTATTTA